AGGACTTGGAACCTCACTTGCTGGGTTACTGTGAGGTTGTGGGATGGCCGCACCTCCGCCTGCGCTGCCCCCGAGAGACGCCGGGTGTCTGGGAGTCCCAGCGGGAGCGTTGGGTCCAGTCGGATTTGGTGTTGCGCTGAGGCCCGTTGAGGTAGTGCCGGTCGTGGTGTTGACACAAAAATACTTGTGGCCTAAGTCTGATCCAGGGAACAAGTTACCACACACTGTTGGCCGAGAGGATCCATGGAAAGCCATCCTACATGATAAACACAGGTGAGGAATTGTCATTAAAGCGATTGTCCACCAAAACAATAACAATGCTGTCAGCATCTGAAGAATGCTGATAACCAGACGGCTTCAGTTCTCATCAATTTCTATGGTATTTTTTGTCCATACAATGGAAGTCAATGGGAACCGAAACGGTTTAGTTACCAACATACAGTAAAATATACATTAAATTGTTTTCCACAGAAAAAAGAAAGCCATACAGATCTGGAGTGACATGAAGGCGAGTAAAGTATGACAGAATTTTCGCTTTAAGTGAACTATCCCTTTAAATTGATTACCTGCAGTCCTAAAATTTCTATAAACACAAATTTCTTATTATGAGACCAAACTATGTACCAAACTGACAGAAAATCCTGGCAAATTTACTCGCCAAAGCTAATTTTCACTTGTATTTGGCGCTTGGCAAGGTGTTAATTCTGGACCCTGGATGCAAACCAGGACATTCGTAACAAATTAATAAGTGCAAAAACAGCTTCATATTATGCTAAACTTGAGATGTACCAAAATGACAGAAAATTCCCACTAAATTTTCATGGAACACAAAAGGAATAAAACAGGCATCATCCATTGAATCTCAATTAAATGCCATTCATCAGTTTGCAACATCAGTTCTCATGTGTGTCAACCAAACTCCAAGTCTGAATATGTAGAATGTGAAATGACATTCAAAATCTGCATTGCAGTTTCCAGTGAAATATGCCTTTTATTTTTGCTTGCTTCTTATACAAAGTTATCATATGACTTGAGAATATAGGGTAGAAATAGCTCTTGTCATTTTGGGGGCTTAAAAGTTGTGGTCGCATTAAAGTTTTAAATGACACGTTATCATTTTTAAATGTATGTATTATATAAATGTAACTATTCCTTTCAACGATGTTGTCTGAATAGCCGTGATAGCACTATGGTAATTTGTTAAGGTGAAGACTTCCTCAACAGTTAACCAGTCCAAAAAGAATTAGGTATAAATAAATAACAAAATATTGAACCTAAACATATAGATAAATATTAGGAAATACAAGTTGTTGAGCCAGTGTTTACTTCCTGCAGCCGCATTGCAACAGTGCAGCTCACTCAGAAACATTACTAGACCAAATGCATGCCAAAGGTTTGATGTACTTTAATCATGTGCTCGGTCGGTGGTCTGACAGCACATTTCACTGTTATATCAGTGTGAATAGCCTGCAAAAACTTCTGCTTGCAACACGTCTGGAAAGTTCACATCAGTCTTGTTCCTCATCTTTGTTCGCAAGCTGCTCTTTCCTGTATAAACACAAGCTAACAAGCTACCCTTCAATGACACAACTCGCTACAAGGTTAATATTTAAGCTGCTATTAGCCCGTTCACATACCACAGCAGCCCATATCTCAATCCTCTACATTTTTTGTTTAGTTTGATAGAATTTCAAGCCAGTTAACTCTAATAATAATGTAGCTAACGCGACCTCACCAGCTGTTAACTTAACGTTACCTCCGGCTAGCTAGCTAATGTTAATAAATCTGCTCCGTGGCCTATATATGATGTTTATATGCACAAACGGTCAATTTCAGAGCTAAAATAACAACATAAAGTGAATATAACCCAACATAATGCACACAGAAAAGGAAAGGTGAGCTGTAACTCGTGGTAAAGGCCGATCATGTCGGTTTATTGGCTGCAGATGTTTGTAAAGTGTTAGCTTTAGCACAGCGGCTAACCTCTCGGAGCTGATGGCAGCGGCGGCGGAGCTCAGATCTTCATGACGGACGCTGGCGGATCGCAGCGCTCTCCCCGCATTTCTGCTCGCTTTAAATCCTTCTGCTGCAGCCGACTCCAACCCTGGACTGTCTCGCCGTGTTCCTCTCTCTCTCTCTGATCTGGAAATCAGCTGTTGGAATTAGCGGTGGAGAGGGAAAAGGAGGAGTTGGAAGAGGGGGATGGAGTGAGAGAAAGGAGGGCTGAGTGTGTGGGGGAGGGGAGGACCACCGGTGTAAACAATGCGAGGGACGCGGTTTAACCGTTCGCTGTCTTCTGCAAATTATACACTCACCCTGCTTTACAGGAATAGGGCACAAATTGCAGAACCTGAAACTTTTTTCTTTAAAAAAATAAAAAAGGTCAATGAAAGCAGGTGCTTCACCTTCAGGAAATATTAGTTTTAAGAGGTTTACTAGGATCTGAGACTATAAAATTGTGTGATGCACAATTATCATCACTCGTTTTTGTGTTAATTTATTTTAACAGGTTTAACAAGCGGGGTAACAGGTTTGAAAGGTTGAGCTTGATGAATGCAGTTAATACAAACATTTGTGGAAAAACTGTGAAAGTGAAACGATATTTGCTATAAGGTCCCATTATAATATTAAAAATTAAAAATGTATTATAATATATATGTATATATACATGTATGTATATGCTATATATATATATATATATATATATTCTACAATAAATAGCATAACAGTGAAAGCAGGTGCTTCACCTTCAGGAAATATTAGTTTTAAGAGGTTTACTAGGATCTGAGACTATAAAATTGTGTGATGCACAATTATCATCACTCGTTTTTGTGTTAATTTATTTTAACAGGTTTAACAAGCGGGGTAACAGGTTTGAAAGGTTGAGCTTGATGAATGCAGTTAATACAAACATTTGTGGAAAAACTGTGAAAGTGAAACGATATTTGCTATAAGGTCCCATTATAATATTAAAAATTAAAAATGTATTATAATATATATGTATATATACATGTATGTATATGCTATATATATATATATATATATATATATTCTACAATAAATAGCATAACAGTTCTATGCAATTTCTTAATATCTTAATATTTATTCTTAAAACCCTAATATTTACATTTACATTTAGTTATTTAGCAGATGCTAGATTTATCCAAAGCGACTTACAAATTAGGACAATAGAAGCAATCAAACCAACAAAAGAGCAATGATACAAGTGCTGTGACAAGTCCCTGTAAGTCTAGCGCAATACATGCAGCAAGTTTTTTTTTAATAATAAATAAAAAGAAAACAAGTAGATAGAGTAGAAAAAGAACAGAGAACGCGAGTGTTAGAGGTAAAAAAACTGTTTACAAATAAATAAAAACAGAAAAAGTAGATAGAATAGAAATACAATAGAGCGTGCTTGAGTTAGAGGGTCATATACAGTGCTGTGAAAATGTTTTTGCCCCCTTCCTGTTTTAAAATGTTTTGCATGTTTGTCACACTTAAATGATTCAGATTTAATCATTTAACAAATTTTAATATTACACAAAGATAATGCAAGTAAATACAAAATGCAGTTTTTAAATAATTATCTTATTTATTAAGGGAAAAAAGCTGTCCAAACCTGCCTAGCCCTGTGTGAAAAATGAATTGCCCCCTAAATCTTATAACTGTTTGTGCAGCAACAACTGCAATCAAGCGTTTGCATTAACTGGCAATGAGTCTTTCACATCGCTGTGGAGGAATTTTGGCCCACTCTTCTTTGCAGAATTGTTTTAATTTAGCCACATTGGAGGGTTTTCGAGCATGAATAGACTGTTTAAGGTCATGCCACAGCATCTCAATCGGATTTAAGTCCGGACTTTGACTTGGCCGCTCCAAAACCTTAATTTAGTTTTTCTTGAGCCATTCAGAGGTGGACTTGCTGGTGTGTTTTTATGACCTCCTGGATGAGTCGTCGTTGTGCTCTTGGAGTAATTTTGGTTGGCCGGCAACTCCTGGGAAGGTTCACCACTGTCCCAAGTTTTCTCCATTTGTAGATGATGGCTCTGACCGTGGTTCACTGGAGTCCCAAAGCCTTAGAAATGGCTTTATAACCCTTTCCAGACTGATACAGGTCAACTATTTTGTTTCTCATCTGTTCTTGAATTTCTTTAGATCACGGCATGATGTGTTGCTCTTTAAGCATGCTTCACTTTGTCAGAC